CGACTTCGTAAATTCGCAAAACAACATGGACAACACATGCGGTTTCGCATCGACCGACTTTCTGTCCAGGAGAACGTCGTGCATGTCTCAGAGATGAGAGGACGAATATGGGAACAGGGTTTTGTCCATAATCGACCTTTACCATGGTAGTGCCAGGCTTGTCACGTTTTATCTCTAGGTCGTTCGTCGATTGAACAATTTGCCTTGTCATATAACTATGCAATGACCGTACGCGGCTGAATGAGAGGTCTCGAAATTTATGACGTCAGTAAATACTGCATGCTTTGTCGCCTTTGTCTTATTCAAAAATTGACGACCATTTCTGAAAAAAGCTACAATAATTCATAACGTTATTACTTAGGGCCTTGGGCCAACCGAAGATAACATGCTGAGTAAAGTGATGAAGCACACTCCCATCCGACTTCAACTACTTCGAATTACTTGCCAACTACGAATCAATTAGAACTTCAGAAAATCTTACAGAGGGGAACAATTTACAATTCGCAACAGTAACGTGCAAGCATTGACGAAGAGAAACAAGTTCTCAACATTATCTTGCGATGAAAAGAAGACGTCAAATTCACTTAAAACGGGCGAAAACATTGCCATACTGGCCACCGGAAACGGAGGCTCCACCACGAGTCTGAACAAGACCGATTACACAGAGAAGATTTCTGTTGACCCAATTGTGAAAAACTCGGCGCCTCGGTGGGATTCGAACCCACGCTATGAACAGAGAAGATTGTTATGGAGAGTGCAGACGGCGTAGAGCCGCGGCCTAAGGCGCTGAACAGGGGACCAGGCCGGCGGCGTGAGACACGCGTGAAGACGGCCGGCCGGCGTGCACTGCAGAACCGAGCACGTGTGGTGGCTTTGCTCACGCGTGCGGCCCAATCAATGGCTGGTTGAACATTCCAGACATTTCCCCGGGGGGGGGGGGGCTATCGCGCACGTGGTGGCCAATCAGCGGCCAGCACGTCCCGGACAGGAACATTCTAGAGCGCCCTCAATGGCCGGCACGTCATTGGACGGGATGTTCCGGAACGCACAGGGGCCAATATAAATAGCGCACCTTTCTGGCGAGTTACAACCCCTCGTGTCCGCAAGTTACCAAGAGAGTGTTTGTCCTCCAAACCGGATCTCTTCCTGTTCCACCTTCTTTCCGGGTCATAATAAAGATGATATCATTGTTAAAAGACGATTCTACCCACGAACGCCTAAACACAGACTTTACGAAATCATAGACCTCGGACATTGAAAAAGCGCTGGAGCGCCCAACAGAAAGGAAATTACTTCCAGGAGTCCTTGCCAAAGAGTCCTCGCACCGAAGAAATCCCTCAAGCCTACATCTCGGATGTGCCTGTCAATGCTTTGTTCCAAGTACTAGAAACCTACTTTTCCTTCGTCGAGCAATGCCATCGATAACTGGGAGGTCCGGATATCGACTAGAAGCCATAATGCAGAAAGTAGGATCTATAGCTCTTCATACGGTTAACCCAAAACTATGGCTGCGTCGTGCAGATGACGCGTTTTTCATCGCATGAAAAATCAGTCAGATGTGCTCTACACGAATCCTAACCCTACAATTCCAGGAATCACATTTACTTTCGAAACGGAAGTTGATGAACAACTCCCATTTCTGGGCGTTCTTGTACGTCGAAAAACTGGTGGACCACTTCATGCATCGGCTTATCGCAGAAAAAACATGTTTAGAGGCCATCCTAAATTTTGAGAATAACTAGCTCATCTGCCACAAAGGGAGTTCTCTCTCCAACCCGTCAAATCGGGTCAGGACACATTGTTCTGATGAAGAAAGTTATCAAGCAAAAATGAAATATCTCTTTAAATTATTTTCCCGCAACGGCTACCCCCGTGCTCTTATACGTCAGCGCATAAAACATCATGAGTTCAAACAAAAGGGTAAGTCAAACGTTACGGCCTTTTGGTCACCGAAAACAACCCCTTGGCGAACTTTCCTACGCACGTAAAAAGTATCTGAACTTGTCGAAAAGCCGCTGAAAAAACATCAGATGCAAGTGGCACACCAACACACAACTACCGTTTACGACCTGAGGACAGGGTTGATTACCTTGACGGAAAAGATGTCATCTACAAGATCGCATGTGTCAGTTGTGATGCAGTCCTTCGTTACCAAACTGGAAAATCTGTTCTGACACGTGCACAAGAACATCAATTAGCGTTGAGAAGATGCAATCTCCTATTCGGAGTGGCCCTGCACACACTAGACACAAGTTTCCCTAAGGCCACACTCGCATTTTTGGCTCCTGCCCAGTAAAGAAGGACGTGAATTCCTGGAAGCAATGCACTCAGATGAGGCATGCATCGGTAAGGGTCGGAAGAGGGTCCCCAATCGTCTGTGGCATACAAAAAATACCTATTATACTTATTTAAATGGGTTTTGGTCCGACACGATTACTTCGATTTGGTGTTTGATTGTTCAAGGATGGGTCGTCTGTTGTAGACGACCGGGCGCATTATCTACAATGGCCTCAGCTCAGAAAGTTGAGAAGCGGTCGTTGTAGACAGTCAGGTGGATTATCTACAATGGCCTCAGCTCAGAGAGTTGAGAAGCGGTCGTTGAAGACACTTAATGTGGTCAGATGTGGTTATGTAGCCTCACCTAAAGTAAACAAACCGCAGCCACCTACAATACGGGACCAGTGGTTATAGGTTATTTTACAGATGGGGCCGGGGAACGTACAGGCGACGGAGTCAAGTAATTATATGCAAAAGAAAAGCTATTAGGAATGCGTGGTTTTGCTTATAATGGTTAGGAAATAGTTGCTCTACCACCTAACCCTAACCTCTAAACCCTAACCGCCAACCCCAACAGTAATGTGTCCATCAGGTGAGGCTACATAACCACGTCATATCATAAATGTTTATTTTTTTAATTGTCCTCCTTAATTTCGGTTGATATATGCCAATGCATTAAAACCTTCGCGCCCAAAAACCGATTTTACCAATTATGTATACTTATTTTGCCATTCCTCTATGCATACATTGGCCCCGCCCGTAAAACCCCTATTACCACCTTTCCCGTAAGACAGGCAACTTTGGCCGATCGTGTTTTTGGGGTCCTTCATCCGATCGTTGCCCATGCATCAACCGACACATCGATTTCGATGCCGCATACAAAATTATTTAGGACGAATGGAAGCGAGCGTAGCCAATGCCGAGAGGATGACGAAATGCAATCGACGCGTATTGACGCAGACTTTGACCAACCATAAAATCACCTGTTCGACACAGTTAAATAGATAACTGTTTTTGGACATGGCTCAAAAGTCTGATGACGAGCTGGGAAACCAGCCCCAAATGCTACGCAATAAAGGTTATTTTTTTTACCAAAGACTGCTCCCTATTTCAGAGTAGATTCAGCTATATTTAGAGCAAGATATCTGGGCATTCCTCGATCTGGCAGATGGTATTTCTAGAGTCCTTGTTCGCGTTCTGCACACATATAGAATTAGATTTAGATACATCTGGGGCAGGATATGTCTGGATTCATTGGCCATACAGATAATACTTATTAGTCATTCCAGGAATACTTTCATCTGAAGTCTGCAGCACGTGCATAAGTTTAGGCAAATACTTTTTATTGTTTAAATATACCAGTCGCGCCTGAATAATTTAAACTCTGCCCTCGGCGATAAGATGAAGAAGGTTTGTTTGCCTTAGTGCACAAAACCTCCTCAGTGGTAAGCTCCAATAAACGAAACGTCTGAGGAGAACGTTGCCTGACCTCATTGAGTATGCGGCGACATTAATCTAAGCAACCAATCCGCATTCACTGACAGTATTCAGCCTGCCGCTCATTGGTTACCTTTACGGCTCTTTGCATGTACCAGAAAATCCTTCCTGCAAATGTTCGCGAGACATCAGCCAATTAAAAACAACTAGAGCTCTCAGTCAAGGAACACCTGATTCAACGTATAACACTTGAAACAGGTTTGAAAGGGGTGCAACAACTTAATTTTGCGTAAGACGGATCCACCGTTAGGGGGAATGACCTCACAGTACTGGAGTATTTATAGAATGCTGTCGCCATGTTATCGCGTACCTATGAAAATTAACGACTCCCCCCTTCATCAGGGACTGTTGCACTTGGTGTGAGGATTATTTGACGGACAGCATTGGAGTCGTTAATCCGTGCGATATTGCACGGACCTCAAATTTAGGCGAACGCTTCCGTACATCAAGAGCTTTTAAAAAG